ATCAATCGAATAATAGAAGATGGAATCTTAAAACCTGTGGATGAGCTGAACAGAATGGGTCCACCCTATCGTAATGGCAGAAAAACCCAATGGCAGAATCCGCATCTGTATGGACCCTCGAAGCCTGAACAAATATATAAAGCGAGAGCACTACCAACTACCCGTTCTTTAGTTTTAGATGCTTCTAATGCTTTTCTTCAAATTCCTTTGGATCCCAAAAGTGCTAAACTATGTACCATTTCAACTCCATTTAGAAGATATTCATTTTAAAGGCTACTACTTTTCAATTTTTTATAGAATGACCTCTTAAAATATATGACAGAAAACGTGAAACATCGTGTACGTTCACTTATTTGTTCAATCAATAAAAAACTTGAGCCAGTCCTGTCCAGGCCGTCACCGTTATGCGCATGCGCTTCTTTAAACTATTTGCTGCGTATGGTTTCGCTTTTGATATATGGAATTGGCTTTCCATACTAGTGCTATGCCAAAATCACATTTTAAATACATATAATAAATGCACGGATGAAATTACGAGTTCTTTAATAGGTTGACAGAAGGGGCTTAACAAATCAAATAGCGCCAAAACTATTATCATACTCTTTCATATTCTAACTAAGCAAATATTTTATTTGTGTGGTTTTAGTTTTTTTTATTTGACCAAGGTATTTGTGTGTTTTTTTTTTTTTAAATAAAAATGGATGTTAATTTGGTTTTTGTCTTGATTGCATTTTGCCTATCGTGAAAAAATCTTCGAAAATAAATGGAATAGAAAATAGCTGAAATTTATAACAATGTAATGGAAATTCTTGGAGCTAGATGATGTTTTAAAATTGCAAGATTTGGTTAGTACTCTGCAGATGAGGACAAGGAATATTTTGATATTTTTTTATTTCGTTAGTTTTATACAATTTGTCTGATACCGCAAGTCGCATTTGAAGCCCTACAAGTCGCATTTGATAGCCCGGAGCTCATTGATGTTTTAAAAATTAAATAACCTGGCGACCATAATCTGGACATTCTTCAAAGACATCATCCGAAATGTCAACAAATGTTTTAAACACTTTAAAGAACGACAACTAATGTACTTTACAAGAAAAAATTTCAGGTTTCTGATGGTGTCTAATATATATACAAGTTATTAACAGGTTATTAACAAGTTATTAACAAGTTATTAACAAGTTATTAACAAGTTATTAACAAGTTATTAACAAGTTATTAACAAGTTATTAACAAGTTATCAACAAGTTATTAACAAGTTATTAACAAGTTATTAACAATTTATTAACAAGTTATTAACAAGTTATTAACAAGTTATTAACAAGTTATTAACAAGTTATTAACAAGTTATTAACAAGTTATTAACAAGTTATTAACAAGTTATTAACAAGTTATTAACAAGTTATTAACAAGTTATTAACAAGTTATTAACAAGTTATTAACAAGTTATTAACAAGTTATTAACAAGTTATTAACAAGTTATTAACAAGTTATTAACAAGTTATTAACAAGTTATTAACAAGTTATTAACAAGTTATTAACAAGTTATTAACAAGTTATTAACAAGTTATTAACAAGTTATTAACAAGTTATTAACAAGTTATTAACAAGTTATTAACAAGTTATTAACAAGTTATTAACAAGTTATTAATAAGTTATTAACAAGTTATTAACAAGTTATTAACAAGTTATTAAGAAGTTATTAACAAGTTATTAACAAGTTATTAACAAGTTATTAACAAGTTATTAACAAGTTATTAACAAGTTATTAACAAGTTATTAACAAGTTATTAACAAGTTATTAACAAGTTATTAACAAGTTATTAACAAGTTATTAACAAGTTATTAACAAGTTATTAACAAGTTATTAACAAGTTATTAACAAGTTATTAACAAGTTATTAACAAGTTATTAACAAGTTATTAACAAGTTATTAACACGTTATTAACAAATTATTAACAAGTTATTAACAAGTTATTAACAAGTTATTAACAAGTTATTAACAAGTTATTAACAAGTTATTAACAAGTTATTAACAAGTTATTAACAAGTTATTAACAAGTTATTAACAAGTTATTAAAAAATTATTAACAAGTTATTAACAAATTATTAACAAGCATTAACAATTTATTAACAAGTTATCAACAAGTTATCAACAAGTTATCAACAAGTTATCAACAAGTTATCAACAAGTTATCAACAAGTTATCAACAAGTTATCAACAAGTTATCAACAAGTTATCAACAAGTTATCAACAAGTTATCAACAAGTTATCAACAAGTTATCAACAAGTTATCAACAAGTTATCAACAAGTTATCAACAAGTTATCAACAAGTTATCAAAAAGTTATCAACAAGTTATCAACAAGTTGTCAACAAGTTATCGACAAGTTATTAACTAGTTATTAATAGGTTATTAACAAGTTATTAACAAGTTTTTTTAAACAAGTTAATAACAAATTATTAACAAGTTATCAACAAGTTATTAACAAGTTATTACCAAGTTATTAACAAGTTATTACCAAGTTATTAACAAGTTATTAACAAGTTATTAACAAGTTATTAACAAGTTATTAACAAGTTATTAACAAGTTATTAACAAGTTATTAACAAGTTATTAACAAGTTATAAACAAGTTATTAACAAGTTATTAACAAGTTATTAACAAGTTATAAACAAGTTATTAACAAATTATTAACAAGTTATTAACAAATTATTAACAAATTATTAACAAATTATTAACAAATTATTAACAAATTATTAACAAATTATTAACAAATTATTAACAAATTATTAACAAATTATTAACAAATTATTAACAAATTATTAACAAATTATTAACAAATTATTAACAAATTATTAACAAATTATTAACAAATTATTAACAAATTATTAACAAATTATTAACAAATTATTAACAAATTATTAACAAATTATTAACAAATTATTAACAAATTATTAACAAATTATTAACAAATTATTAACAAATTATTAACAAATTATTAACAAATTATTAACAAATTATTAACAAATTATTAACAAATTATTAACAAATTATTAACAAATTATTAACAAATTATTAACAAATTATTAACAAATTATTAACAAATTATTAACAAATTATTAACAAATTATTAACAAATTATTAACAAATTATTAACAAATTATTAACAAATTATTAACAAATTATTAACAAATTATTAACAAATTATTAACAAATTATTAACAAATTATTAACAAATTATTAACAAATTATTAACAAATTATTAACAAATTATTAACAAATTATTAACAAATTATTAACAAATTATTAACAAATTATTAACAAATTATTAACAAATTATTAACAAATTATTAAAAAATTATTAACAAATTATTAACAAATTATTAACAAATTATTAACAAATTATTAACAAATTATTAACAAATTATTAACAAATTATTAACAAATTATTAACAAATTATTAACAAATTATTAACAAATCATTAACAAATTATTAACAAATTATTAACAAATTATTAACAAATTATTAACAAATTATTAACAAATTATTAACAAATTATTAACAAATTATTAACAAATTATTAACAAATTATTAACAAATTATTAACAAATTATTAACAAATTATTAACAAATTATTAACAAATTATTAACAAATTATTAACAAATTATTAACAAATTATTAACAAATTATTAACAAATTATTAACAAATTATTAACAAATTATTAACAAATTATTAACAAATTATTAACAAATTATTAACAAATTATTAACAAATTATTAACAAATTATTAACAAATTATTAACAAATTATTAACAAATTATTAACAAATTATTAACAAATTATTAACAAATTATTAACAAATTATTAACAAATTATTAACAAATTATTAACAAATTATTAACAAATTATTAACAAATTATTAACAAATTATTAACAAATTATTAACAAATTATTAACAAATTATTAACAAATTATTAACAAATTATTAACAAATTATTAACAAATTATTAACAAATTATTAACAAATTATTAACAAATTATTAACAAATTATTAACAAATTATTAACAAATTATTAACAAATTATTAACAAATTATTAACAAATTATTAACAAATTATTAACAAATTATTAACAAATTATTAACAAATTATTAACAAATTATTAACAAATAATTAACAAATTATTAACAAATTATTAACAAATTATTAACAAATTATTAACAAATTATTAACAAATAATTAACAAATTATTAACAAATTATTAACAAATTATTAACAAATTATTAACAAATTATTAACAAATTATTAACAAATTATTAACAAATTATTAACAAATTATTAACAAATTATTACCAAATTATTAACAAATAATTAACAAATTATTAACAAATTATTAACAAATTATTAACAAATTATTAACAAATTATTAACAAATTATTAACAAATTATTAACAAATTATTAACAAATTATTAACAAATTATTAACAAATTATTAACAAATTATTAACAAATTATTAACAAATTATTAACAAATTATTAACAAATTATTAACAAATTATTAACAAATTATTAACAAATTATTAACAAGGTATTAACAAGTTATTAATAAGTTATTAATAAGTTATTAATAAGTTATTAATAAGTTATTAATAAGTTATTAATAAGTTATTAATAAGTTATTAATAAGTTATTAATAAGTTATTAATAAGTTATTAATAAGTTATTAATAAGTTATTAATAAGTTATTAACAAGGTTTCTATTTTAAAGTCTGTGGAAATCCAATATATGGTAAAATATAAATATATACTCATTAACGAATTAACGAATAGTTTTTGCATAATAAATAAGTATGTTGAAATAAGAAAAAATCTGTCCATTTTTAAATTAAATTTCATTACCTCCTAATATAGAAAAAGTCTTATCCCCCAAGTGCTTTTTTTTGAAACACCTTTTATACTCTTAGACACTTATGTATTAAATTATTAATACTTACTTGTTCCGAGTTTAAAAATCTTCAGACTATTGTGCCGAAACTTGCTTCTGCAGACCGCTCTCTTTCTGGCTACTTTCAATTGAGGGTTGCCCTCTTTTTTGTTTTCTGGCCTAATCATGCTGTTGGAACAAGAACTTGTCGAAGAGTTCGAGGAGGCATCCTCATCTCCATCGTCTAGTTCTGCCGTACGAGACAGTTTACTTGGATATGGCTTTTGGTGTTGGTGAATCAGTCTCTTTTTGAAGTGTTCCATTCTTTTCCAGTCTGCTACATAGTTTAATGGGGGCTATTTTGAATACGAATTGTCTGAAAAAAAAAAGAAATACATTTTAAAAATTGGGTTAAATGAAAATCGAAGTTTCAAAGGTATTGTTTTTAAATAAGTGTTCCCTTTGAAGGTGAAGAAAAAGCGTTCTTTTGTATTCCAGTGGATCATTGTTAAACGCAATGAATCGAAGCCGTTCTCTTGCTTTGAGCAGTGCGAGTTGACACGAAACAAGCGAAAAGGTTCGGCAGTCGAAATCGAGGAGAAGAGAATAAAAATCGAGAATGTATTTTTTATTTTTTGATGTTTAGTTATTAAAAATGTAAGTGCTTTTAATTTTATTAGGTGCAATGTAATAATATACGAGTATTTAATTTTCTGAATAGAAATACCTTAAATATCAGTTCTATCAAATAGATCATTGAATTTTTTCTAGAGTCCCTATACTAAAGTTACTAATAATTACAGGTTACTATTAGCCAGTTAATAAAGGCTCTGTGCGTTATTTTTTTGTCGTTGTAAACGGGAAAATTGATTATTATATTTGGCCTAAAAATGAATTTTTAAAATTAGGTTAAAACTAATAAGGTAATGTATTATTATTTCTTAACATGAAATAAAATTAATAAATGACAATTTCGCCTTGTCTCAAGATTAATAATTTTATGCATATTCTTAAAGTGTACCAAAAATCGATGCTGTTGAACTGATTCTAATTTGTCCCGATGAGTTTGTTTATGTAGGATTCCAGATAATAGAAGCGTACACAAGCGTAGACTGAACAAATTAAAAATAAAGCATATTAAGAGTTTCTAAACTCCTTACTAACACATACTAAAATTTGGATGCTTCTCTATGTATGATAAAAATTAAAGCATGATTCAAACTTTATACCATTATCGACAAAATGTGCAGGTCTTTATAAAGATGAGTTTTCAATTGAATAAAATAGGATCAAGTTTTATTGAAAATTGCATTATAAAACATTTTGATAAAATTAAAGGAAGAATGGAGCACGGGCCATTTTTCCACGTTCGAATTTCTTGAACTCCATGTTGCAAGTAAGGAATCACAACTGAACCAACCTCAAACAAAAGTTATTAAGTAATTAAAGGTCAAAGTTTTGGAAATTATAAAATATTCATGGGCTTTTAAAAATATGCGGATATAATATAAATTCTTAGGCTAGCGCCACATTAGACAGAATTTTAGTCGCTGAAAATGAGCCACAGATCTTTGCGTAGTAAATTCAAATGCTAGGCGTTTCAATGTAGCGAGTTCTCGAATAATTGCTCTTAAAAGATTGTAGGATTTATCTGCAAGAGACGTTCTGCTGCTGAAGATTGGCGACTGAACGTCTACCTAATGTGGCGCTAGCATACAAATTTAAAAAGAAGATATTTCACTTGCAATGTTTTGTTTTTGTAAGTCGGTTCCTTTTGTAAAATTAATTTGAGCACTGTTTGGTTAAAGATAATTTATTGTTAAAAGAAGCAGGCAGAAAATAAATATTCATCAGCTGTATTCCCTAATAACAAAATTTCTGATTAGAGAAATGTTACTGGTCCAGCAACTCTCACAATGTACAAAAAACGTTCAACACGTCCTCTATCACCGGACTTAGTTGAAGAAAAAGGTGGGTCTAATGTCTCCACTACTGGAACGTTTATTGGGGACATTATGACTGTCAATAACGAGTGTGCACAATTGAAAACTAAAACATGGAGAAAGAAAAAGATTCAGGTACACGTCAATGAATTGGTATTTCAAAGGACCAAAAGACTGCCCATATATTATAACAGAATATAATCGGCGTTCACTTGATGGACGGACTCATTGGACGATATCATATTCGTATGAAGACCCGTAAATATTCAAACCGTATCTTTTACCATCTTCTGGACATTGCAATGGTGAATGCTTATATACCATTCCACCGCGTTCATCCAGTAAAGGAGAACAAAGTGGAGGTCCCCGTTTTTAGAACCCAAGTCGCAGAATCGCTTTGCCTGCATGGAGATCAACTGCAGAGAATGAGCGTCGGGTGGCCATCACTTCATCGCCAAGAGCATCTCCAACGCTCCTCAAAAGGGCATACTTTCCAACAGAGGATATTCGTTATGATGCAGTGGGGCACTGGTGTATATTCAGAAATAGAAAGAAAAAAAAAACAGTTCAAATTTCCTAAATGCACTTTGGAAACCCAAGCATTTTGTACAAAGTGCAATCTTAGGTTGTGCAATTTCACCACAAAAACATGTTTCTTTTATTTTTAAAAATCTTTATTAATTTTTTTCAATAACATATATATACATCGTCAGTCTAAAATATACACACACAATGCACTTGTACACAGTACATGGTGAAATTGTGCGGCTCTACTAGTCGCCTACCAGAGCTATGGCGATTTAATCGCCTATAATACACCGCGATGTTCTTGTCTTATGGTTTTGCTATACAATAGCTGCCCTCACTCCTTGCCCTGTGGGTATTATTAAGGGATTTTGGTTAGTTTGTATATCAGTAATTGTATGTAAAAGTAGGTATGTCTTGTCTTAGTTTCGTTTTTGTCCCCTGAAAAAGCTAGTAAAAACAGGGTTGTCATTGGTAGTTCGTGGTCCTGTATATAGTCTATTGTTGTTTGTCATAATTCACTAGAAAAGTGGGCTATGAGCCCTCCGACAGGGTCATTGTATTGTTTATTTTAATGTTTAATTTCCTGTCTATTAAGTATGATAGAATTATTTTAACAATGTGCCCAGGAAAGTCATTCATAAGCATCTTATAGATTAACCCACGGTTCCATACGGTATCAAATGCTTTTTCGCTGTCTAGCGTGACAAGTACCGTTTGTAAGCCCTGATTATATGCCTCTTTGGTGTGGTGAGCGATTCTCAGGACTTGGGCCACGGTACTATGTCCCTCTCTGAAGCCGTATTGTTCCCGTGGGATAATCTGTAGTCGTTGTTCAATTGTTTTTAGTCTTCGTAGTATTATCGTGTCTGTAATTTTAGCTAGTGTGTTTAGTAGCGATATGAGGCGGTAGCTATCTATATTACTACCCGGTTTACCCGATTTTTGTATGGGAATAATATTCGCCACTCTCAGACTACTAGGGTAGTATTGTAGTCTAAATATAGCGTTTATTATGTGGTAGAGCTGCACGATAGCTTTTCTGCTAAGGTTTTTAAGCAATATATTACTAATATCATCCGGTCCCGGAGCTTTTCTATTTTTGAGACTTTTAATAACCTCACCTACCTCTTTAGGAGAGGTTAGAGAAGATTGGGGCACTAAAAGTGGTTCGAATTCATCAACTGCATTCTCGATTTGTTGTTGTTGTTGATTGTTAATTTGTGTGTTTACAAATTTAGACTGAAAATATTCGCCGAGGGCTTGACCTTTTTCTTTGTCTGTTGTAAATATGTCTTGTCCTTTTTTCAGTATGGGAAGCGGTGTAAAAGGTTTTTTGTACCTTTTCACCACTTTCCACAGTGAATTGTCATTCTGTTTCAACTCCAATAGGGTGGATTGCCATTTAGCATTCCGATGTTTTCTTATCATCTTATTAATATTTTTGGCAAGGTTATTCATCCTTTCCCTATCTTCGTATCCCCGATTTTGCTGCCATATTTTTCTTAGTCGGTTTTTGTCATCAATAAGGTCAGTGATCTCAGATGGCAGTATGTCGAAGTGTTGTTTGTGTGTTTTTAGTGTTGTTGTTTCGTCTCTAGCTTTTTGTTTCTTTTGTATTAATGTTTTTGTTTCGTTTTCTAGGGTTTCCACAGACTGGATGTTATGATTTATTGTAATATATTTGTCAAGTTTTGATCTGTAATTATTCCAGTCTGTAGTTTTGTAATCGTAGTATTGAGTTTTTTGTCTCTGTATTTTGTTATTTGTCCAGATTTCCAAGTACACTGGGTTATGGTCAGAATTAAGAGTGGTTATTGTCCTATTATTTCTAATGTCCGGTATGTTTTTTGCTATGGCAATATCTAGTGTACTTGGACTGTGAGTTGCGCATGTCGGGTAGTATGTCGGTTCTTATGTATAGTGTATGATTAGGTCGTTGTCCTCGGCGAAATCTCTCAACACAGTGCCACTTGTATTATAGAATGCACAATGAGTGTTGTAATAATTGGCATTATTACTGGAAAAAAAGAATTTACCAAAAATTCTAAATAAGTATTTAATGTTTAAATTAAATAATTAAAAAGACACGTATGAAAATGAAACAAACCTTCAGGTTATTATTCTACATTGAACGCGACATTTTTAAATACAACCAAATATCACGTAAATTTTAGTTTATATAGAAAGGATCACTTGGGTAAACTCTCAGTCGGGTTCGGACTAAGGTCCAGAACTTTCGCCCTTGGGCGAAAGCCCTCGTTTTGTATTGTAAAGTAAAGTGTAGAGTATAGTTTTTGTGTACGATGTGAATTATGGGTAAATATTTTAACTTAATTTTAAAGTGTTTTTGTTTAATATTAATTGATTGATTGATTTACATATAAATGCCAATTTTACATTTTCGTCCCGAATTATATTTATCTCATGCATATCTTTATTACTATTAGTTATAGTGCTTTATTCCCAAAATGGAATTTTATTCATTTTTTTCTTAAGACTATTTGTCAAGTTTATATTTATTGTTAATATATACATTTGTTAATGTTTTAATACTTATTATTAAACTCTCCTCCCTTTCCAAACCAGCAAAATACTCCGAGCATTTGAGAAGCCTCGGCGTTTCTATTCCTTTAGGACTAAAAGAGTCTAAAAGTTGTTGCCAAGAACCGCTCGACATATGCTATTAAGGGTTTTTTTTTTGTATTTTATTTTTTCTTTATTTTCTTTTGCCACTGGCGAATGGATGTTCCTTCAGGACTCCAGGACCCTAGGGCTGGTGACAGGTGCTGCCTTTATCCCTTAATAGTATAATGACAACAGTAGCTAAAGACCTATCAGTAGTTGCAAATGGTCTATTAGGCTTTCCTGGTTGTTACAGTGTCCCATTCTTGGTGTTTGGCATTAA